ATGCAGACAAAAAACTGCAAAAGGAAGTTCGTTTTCTACAGTAACCTACAGTAATCTTCACGAAAACCGTTCCATCAAATTTCAGACAAAAATTCGAAAAAAAAGAAAGAAAATCTTTGATAATAGCCGAAAAGGTCTAAAAATTTTGCAAAAAATCAAAGGAAAATCAAGTTTTTCTCTCGAAAAATCGCTAGTTTTTCGAAGCTTTCAGTTTTGGCGGAAATTCAAAAATTCCAAAACCTACCGGAAGTTTTCAGAAATGGACGAGAATTACGATTTTTAGCTTTTTGAAGCGACTTTTCGAGGTTTTGTCGGTTTTTTTGTTTCATAAAATCTTTAAAAAGTAATTTTACAATCCGCTTTTTTCGATTTTTGAGGAATAAAATTATCGAAATTCACAGAAAAATCGAAAAATTAGGCCAGAAAGGAGAATTTTCAGCTCATGGAGCCCAGTGGAAAACGAATACATGAGAAGACAAATGTGGAGTTGAAAGAAATGAAACTGGAAAATGATGGACCGAATTTCTTCAAAATGCTGGAAAATAAGTAAGGATTCTGATGATTTTTATAAATATTTTATCATTCTGTTACAAAAAATTGGATCTGAGGTCTCACAACGATAACTACCGTAACCTAAAAGTATCTTTCATTTTTTGAGTTTCAATCAATTGTTTAGGGGAAAAGTAACAGAAAAATCGAGATAAAATCCCTGAAAGCAAACATATTCACAGATTACTGTAGTTGGGACCTTCGGCCACGCCCACATCTCCGATTTTCTTAAATTTTCGGTTTCAGCATAAAACTGCAACTAACCACGGCCATCGACCTAACAGCTTCGAATGGGAATCCAGTGAGTTCGAATTCTCTCCACTATATCCATCCTCATCAACCATCTGCCTACCTGGAAGCTCTTCTTCAAACCACACCCCCTCTTCTTGCCTATCTTCCGAACCCCCAGAATCCTTTTATAGGATCCCTAGGGTTTGGAGCAAAGGTTCAGGGTCCTGGAGGTGCTCTTCAGCTGTCACATTGCTTTTGTTTGGTAAGCCTAAAGTTGAAAAAAATGTGTATTAAAAGAGCCCTTATAATACAGGTTTTACGATATCTAGTTTCAAAAAACTCTAGAACATTCTTTTCAGAACGGTGCTCCAACAGATCCACGTGTCGAAGGCTTAGCAGGTCTGATCAGTTCCTATCGGCAAGCGACAATGGGATTACAGCCATTTGCGCCCACTGATTTCTCAGAAGTCATTTATTTTGTGTCCAAGTAGGTTCATTTTTATGGCTGAAAAATGTCTATTTTTAAATGGTGGCCTAACTTTTGCAAGTTGAATTTTCTAGGCCACCAAATATTATGACCTAGAAATAGCTTAACATTCACCAGATGGATTTTCTAGGTCATTTTCACATGGTGGCCTAGCTTTTGCAAGTTGAGTTTTCTAGGCCATCGTAGTAAATAGCCTAGAAATCGCCCAATATTCACTTCTCCAGATTTGCCAAAGCTGAAACTCGCCGCCACGTGGGACTATATTTCATCCTTCTCATATATTCTGATGGCGGTCCGGCCAACGCGCTCAACATGAAACGAACGATAGACGCCGTTGTGGATGCGTCGGCTCATCCGATGAGTATAGTGGCCGTTGGAGTAGGTCAGGATCGGGATCACAGTCCGATGAGGAATCTGGAGAAGTTGACGTTGAAACATTCAGATGGGCGGTTGTTGGTTAGGCAGGTAAGGAGTAAAACTATTTTGAAGTTGAATTTTCGAGTTTTTGAAGCCTAGAAAGGTAGTTTTAGGCCATTTTACCATGGTGGCCTAACTTTAGCAAGCTGAGTTTTCTAGGCCAACATGATAAATAGCCTATAAATTGCTCGATGTTCACATAGTTGGTATTCTAGGCAATATTAACACGGTGACATAACTTTTGGTATTTGAGTTTTCTAGGCCACCATGATGAATGGCCTAACAATGGACTGATATCGAATTGATGTGATATCTAGTTAAAGTTTTTTAGGCCACCAAACGTTTTGCACTAGAAATGGCACTACAGTCGCCTGATGGATTATCTAGGCCTTGTGGCTTAACTTTTACAATTTGAGCTTCCTGGGCCGCCACAGCAAATCTTCTAGAAACAACCTAATATTCACCCTTCGGACTCTCCAGGCCATTTCAACATGGTAGCCTAACTTTTGCGTTTTCTAGGCCACCATATTGATTGGCCTAGAAACAGTCGAAACAGTCTGGTGGATTTTCTAGGCCATTTCTACATGGTGGCCTAACTTTTGCAAGTTAAGTTTTTCTAGACCACCGGTTTTGACCTAGAAACCACACTATGTGATTGTCAGGTCATTTCTAGGCCATAAAAGTTGGCGGCCTAGAAAAATCAAATTGCATAAAAGTTAGGCCATCATATGAAGATGGCTTAGAAAACCAGTTTTCTAGGCCACCTTGTTTTTTTCTTGTGAAAAAACAAGCTTGAGCTAGAAAAGCTTTTTTCAGCAAAAATACCAATTTTCTACAGTATCCCATTTTTCAGAACTACACATTCATTGAAGCCGCCACTTGGAGACTTCCGACGCGTTGGCAATGATTCCTGTCCAAATGACCAAATGGAAAGAAATGTTCCCCTGAAAATCATATGTATTTATGCTTGTAACCCATATTTTCATGTATGTTTGTATGTCTTACTGTATTTTTTATTCATTTTCTACCCTCACGCTAACGCAACCCCGGCCATTTAATTAACCCATTTTTTAAACAAAAAAAAACTAACACGGGTTTGCTGGATTTTTAAAACTAAAGACACAATTTTTACTCTAGAATTTTCCATTGTTTTGAGGTTTTGTGTGTTGCTACTCATCAATTTTTGCTCATTTCCAAATAAAAGAAACCGTATTAAAAATGTTCGGTTCTGGTCAAAAAACTCATCCTGAAGATGGATCTTTTTCTTATGGAATCGCGGATTTTAAGCGATTTTTTCAATGGGTTCTTGGGTGCACCTATGCGAAGAAGACCATTCGGACTAGGTAAAATTATTAGAAATTTGAAGAGAAAATTTCGATTTTTGAAGAATTTCTGAAATGTTCCATTTCGCCGATGCACCGCATATTGTGGTTTACGAGCGGAGTGAGGAGCGTCCGTGGTATTGGATGGTGGCGATGTGAGTAAATGTAAAAATAGGGGAAATTCTAGAAAATTCCGTTTTTAAACCTAAAAATCGCAAAAACATTTTTTTCGAAAACCCAAGAATACCGACAGTTTGAATTCTCGCCAAGCCAAAAAATCGGAAAATTTGAATATTTCGAATTCCCGCCAAGCCAAAACCGGAATTTCGAATTCCCTCCTAACCACCGACAAAAATAAATTAAAAAATCGTAAATTTGAATTCCCGCCCGACCGAAAAATCTGAAAATTAGAATTCTTGAATTCCCCCCAAGGTAAATTTTGGATCCCGATTATTCGGAATTTTTCCGGAATTTTTAAAAATCCTAAAATTCCAAAATTTTCGAAAATCCGAAAGTTTCTATGTTTTTGAAAAATCCAAAAACGCAAATATAAAATTTTTGAATTCCCGCCAAGTCAGCAAAAGCCCAATTTTTTGTAATTCCGAATTTTTGGTAAAATTCGAAGTTTTGAATTCCAGCCAACACCTATCTTTCCAGAATCACCGCAGTTCTCGTGGCTGTTCTCAGCCTCTACTACACCGTCGAAGCGGGCTTCCGTGCCATCCGTAAATTCATCCAATCCGTGCTCCGTGAGCCCATCCAAAGTACAGTATCCACTCCAAGATGCCTCTCTCCAACCACGCCTTCTTCTAAGAAGACGTCACCTCAAACACCAAAAACTCCAGATGTGATTGTTCGTCAAAAAATGCCGATGAACGAGCCAGTGAATTGTGTTTTCATCCGTCCGGCGGCTCCGAAATCTGGAACGGTCGCCGTGCCGAATCTGAATTCGGAAGAAGACGTGACAGTGGAAGCGGAGAAGAATGCGATGAGAGATCGATCAGAGAAGAAGGAAAAAGAGAAGAGAGATAAGAAGAAGAGTCCGCCAACGCAGCGACTCGAAGAAGTCAAATTCGATGCATCGTCCAATGTTAATGTTATTCCGTAAGGCAGTTTTTTCGTTGTCGAAGTTTTTGTAAAAAATTAAATTTTGTCGATTTTTCAAAATTTTGAAAATCCTGTAAAATTGCGTTTTACTTCCAGAACAATGGCTCCACCTCCCCAAGTGAACACGGCTCAGAGCAACACCCCAATCCGCAAATCGACGGGATCCGAAGAATTGAATATTCCAGAAGCATCGACTTCTGAATTCGACCAAACGAACGAATGGGTGATGAGACAGATTGCTGGTTGTCGAAAGTTGAGTAATGAGAATTCTCATGAGAAGGAAAAGCGAGAAAACGCTGGAGCATGTGTCATTGAATCGGAGGAGCCAATGGAATCGGGAAATCAGGTCACTGGAGAGTTCTTGGGGATGCTTCAGCAGGTCCTTTTTTGAATTTCCTGCCCTTTTTTGAAATTCAAATAATTCGATTTTTCAGATCATTGAAGCTCAACTTGGCGAATCGGGAGCACTTGCTTCCTCGAATGAGAATCTTTCTGAAATGTCAGCTAGCAGCATTATTTCCAGTCTTGTGGAAATTGAAGAAACTGAGCCATCGTTTTCGGAAACTCAAAAGAGCTCCTCCTCAGAAGGCGAGAATCTGGAGCTTCAGAAAGCCGACGCTGATGACGTGGATATTGTTATCGATGGTACTGTAGTCTTATTTTAATGCGAGTTGCGGCCGAAAATTCGAGCATTTTTTGTAATTATTTTTGACCTAAATTTTTTTTTTCGATTTTTTAAACGAATTTCATTATTTTTAAGCGATTTTTCGCACAACAAACCGACAGAAATTGCAAAAAATCGCATAAAAACAATAAAAATTCGTCGAAAAATCGAAAAAATAGGCTAGAAAATAGCGAAAAAATACGAAAATTCGCTCGGCGAGCTTGAAGGCTCGTACGATTACCTGCATACTTGCGGACGGGCCCAAAGCGGGCCGTGGCGGGCCCTGTCATAGTTTTTTTTAGGATTGATATTTTTGACCAACTAAATTAGATATGGTAAAACTCGACGAGCACTACAAAACGATAGTATTTGAGACACTGTATCATATTTGTGAACAAAGTTACAAGCCAAAAAGCTGCAAATGCGGGCCGGGCCGGTTTTTTCGGCCCGTTTGGTCTGTAACTTTATTCACAAACATGATACAGTGTCCCAAACAGTATCATTTTTTAGTGCTCGTCGAGTTCTACCATATCTAATTTATTTGGTCAAAAAATATCAATCCTAAAAGAAACTATGACAGGGCCTGCCACGGCCCGCTTTGGGCCCGTCCGCAAGTATGATTACCTGAGCAGGTGGTCTCGCAGCGCTTTCAGAGGTTACTGTAGCGCTTAAAATATTATTTTACGTTTTTGTGTATTGAGTCTCGAAGCGAAAAGTACTGTGCTTCCTGTGTACTCCTCGAGGAGAATCGGAAAATTTTTGAATTTACGGAATTTTATGCGAATTTTTGGGATTTTTATGGCAATTTTTGAATAAAAATTTAACAAAACGCAAAAAATTCGCATAAAACAGAGAATTTATCGAAAAAATGAAGAAAAATGGGCCAGAAAATAATTACGAAAAATTATGCTCCTTTGAAGATTTTGCTACCAAACCTATTTTCGGCTCAAAAATATCCCAAAATTCCATAAACCCCCCCCCCCCCAGGAAAATTTTCTTTCCAGACTCGCACCTAACGGCTGAAACACGAAACGAGTGTTCTGGAAGTGTTCTCATTAGATCGGAGAAGGAAAAAGTGTTGTTCCGTTGGACGGATATCCGCCCAGAAACCATCGATTCGATCACTCTAACTGGATCATTCTTCGGATGGAACATGTCGATTCCGATGAAAGGAATCGGTCAGAAGATGTTCGAGGTGTGTGTGGACCTGCCCGCCGGTGTACACGACTACTCGATTGAGATTTTCCGTTTTGATTCTTAATTTTTTTAAATTCTTCCTTGTCTTTTTTCTTTTCAACAATTTCTAGAGTAAATAAAATCGTTTTTTCTGGGCTTTTATCAGTAATTGCTGTAAAAAGTTAAGGAGAATTTCAGTATATGTCGGTAGGGCGTGCTTTCTTCTCCCTTCTCCGCCATGTTCAAATCGTAATTTTTTTCTCCGACCCAAAATTTTGAATTTTTAAAGCAAAATCTCGAAGAATCCCAAAATTTTGGCTTTTTATTCGAAAATTGAGATGATTCGTTAATTTTCCCTTAAAAAATCGCAGTACGCTTCCTTTTTTCGCAGAATCTGCACTTTTTCGTCTGCGTCTTTTTGTGTCTTATCTGTCGGCGACGCGTGAAGCGAATAGAAGAAAATGTCCCGAAAGAATTTTTCTGCACTTGCAGCAACTACAAAGCTTTTTTAAAGGAAAATTTAGTGTTTTTGAAAAATTTTAGATTGTTTCTCTTAAATTTTAAGTAAATCTGAAAAAAAGAAGCATTTTTCGTAAATTTTCCTTTGTATTTAAATCGAAATTGATGCTGAAAATCCCAGATTTTTTGAAAAATCGTTTAAAAAAGATTTCTTTGAATTTTGGCTTTTTCTTGAAGTTTTCGATTTTTCCACTTTTTTGAGTAAAAACTTCAAAATTTAGGTAAAAAGTGACTTTTAGTTTACAATTTTCATGAATTTTTCTGTATTTCATTCAGAAAAATCGCTGAAAATCCCCAATGTTTTTCGAAGAATTCGTAAAAACTCAGCATTTTCGAATTACGCGATTTTCCACTTTTTTTGGTGTCAAAACATTGAAGTTTAGATAAAAATTGAATTCATTGATTTTTTGTTCACATTTTTCATGAAAATTCGAGTTTCAGTCAGAAAAATTGCTGAAAATACTCGAAAAATCGCCGAAATCCTCAAAAAAAATTAATAAATTTTAATGTATTAAAACAGAAGCTGGGGAGTGGTGGCGGTGGTGATTCTGCACATTGGACGGCACAATAGATTCCAAGCCGACGACGCAAAAGAAGGGAAATAGTGTGCGAAACGAGGAGGGCATAGACAACGAAAAGGCGGGTACTAGACCTCCCAGTCAGGAAATTATACCGTTGTTGCACCGAAAGACAGACTTCAAATGAAATCTCTTTTTCTTCTATTATTTTTCGAGTCACCTGTTTATTGATTTTTCTCCCAAAAAGAATGGTACCGGATGATGTGGAACCGATGGAAGTGGATGATGATGGAGCACTAATTGTAGATTTGAATGAAACTGTAGAGGAAGATGAAGAGACAAAAAAGGAGAAAAAGTAGGGAAATAGGGCCTAGAAAAATCAAAATTTCAACTGGATTTTTTTTCCAGACGAAGAAAGCGGTTTCGTGAGAAATTGAAACGATTCGATCATTATTCCCAGTTCAGTGGCATCTCTATAGCACAAATCGATTGGCCTCTAATACAAGGGCGCTCCCTGCAGAGGTCCCCCTTGACAGGACAGTCTTTTAATGCAGGTGAGAATTTTTGAAAGATTCAAAAAAGACAAAAATTTCTAAATTTAAAAATCCAAAGATTCGAAATTTTGAATTCCCGCCAAATCAACATCCATGAAATTCTCTGCAAATCCTGTCAGATTTCCAGACGAAAACATTTTCCGAATCGACGAATGGCCACGAGAGACGTTTCTCCAAATCACATCAACCCTCACATTCTGTGCTGGTGCCGCCCTTTTGAGCAACGAAAAAATCACACTTTTCGTGTTTCAAAGAACAATGAAAACTCTGGTGGCGTACTGTAATTTCATGTATCATCGTGCCATAACACATAATCGGCGGTAATTTGGAAATTTTGAAAAGTTAAAAAGGTAAAAAAGAAGTTTTCAGACAAATCAATCGAATAGACGTTCACGAACTGATCTCCAGGAATCCGTTGAGGTTTCACATGTTTCTTCAGAAATTTCTGGTAAGGTTTTGACACTTTTGAAGATGCAAATTTTCGAAAAAAAAATCTCAAAAAATCAAAAATTTCCAGAAAATCCGAAATTCAGAATTTCCAATAAAACTGAATATTCCGAATTTTTCGGAATTTTTCGATTTTTCGATTATTTTTTGGTTTTTTTCGATTTTTCAGTTTTTTAAATTTCCGAATTTTTCGCCTTTTTGGAAATTCCGATTTTCGAAAATTTCAGATTTTTGTATTTTTTGAAATTTCGGATTTTTCGGTTTTTCTAAAAAAAAATCTAAAAATTTTTAAATTTTAAAAAATTACAAAAAGTACAAAATTTCAAAAAATCGAAAATTTGAGTTTTCGAAATTTTATGGAAATTCCGATTTTCGAAAATTATGAATTTTTCGTTAATTTTCAGCCCCACCCCGACATCAATCGAACGCATTTCAATAACGAATTCCTCTACTACTTTCACAATCTCTACTTCCAAGATGAAACGTGTCGACTACTGTATCACGATGTCGCTCGATACTCCCCAATCATAAACCAACAAGGAACCCGAATGTCCCTTCAACACCAAATTTATTATCCAGATGTCATGAGGAATCCGGCTTTTGATGCACTTTGGTTCACTAGTTTCATCAATCCCTCTGGCTACAGTTTCTCTCGTTTTCACGCTTATCGATTTCATGAGGCATTGGGAATGCCGCCGTTGGAATCCGAGCTGATTATTGTGCTGGATTGGCTGGCGAAATTGATCATTTGTGATGTAAGATTTTTTTTTGTTATAGAAATGGTCCGAAAACGAAAACTACAGTAATCCTGAACAACTTTTTTTTATTTCCCGGACTCATTTTCAATATTTTCAGACATTTTTTGTGAATTTTTTCGCCATTAAAATTTATAATTTTCAGAGGTTTTCGGTAAAAAAAAATAATCAGAGAATTGGCAGTACGGGCTACTGTAGTTGTAGTTTTTAATGGAAAATTCAAACTTTATATTTAAAAAAATTATTTTTTCAGATCGGCTATAAAGTTTTGGCATGGCGAGACGCGCGAGGATTCCAGGGTTTGCCGGATTTGTTGAGTTTTCAGATGGCCATGTTGGAAGAGGGTTAGTCATTTTAAGCTTGCAGGTCCCGGAACGAAAACTACCGTAACCTGAAAGAAGATTTTTTCGGAATTTTCGGGATTTTTTCCAAAAAAGAATCCTAAAAATTTCGGTTTTTTGGAATTTTGAAATTTAGGAAATTCTATTTTTGAGGGATGTTTTCTCGCGATCGTTGCTTTTGGCAGTTTTATTCCAGTTCATTTTTACTTTTTTCAAAAAAAAGCTCCTTTTTCTTCATCAAGAATGCTTTTTTTTCTAAAAATTCTGAAAAAATCCAAAATTTTAAAAAACTGAAAATTCTCCAAAATTCCAAAAATTTCGAAAATTCAAAAAATTTAGTTTCTGAAAAAAAAATAATCAAAAAAACCGGAATTCCGAATTTCCAAAGTATCTGAATTTCTTAGAAATGCAAAAAATCCGAAAATTCAAAAAAAAATATCCTAAAAATCCGATATTTCGAAAAAATCCAAAAACCTAGAATTCCGAAATATTCCAAAATACCGCAAAGATCGACAATTCCAAGAAAAATCCAAAAAACGTTTACTAATGCATCGCAAAGCTTTCCAGGCGATCCCCTATTCGATTTGGACATTGACTACACAGCTCCACCAACTCGTCTATTCTCGGAACCCACCCGGTTCCAAACCTACCCAAAATTCCAACCACGTCGACGAATAGATTTTCCTTCAAGATTCGACGGTTTCTACAAAAAACGACGGCTCGAGCGAGGCCTTGAGGAGATCCAAGAATCATTTATTATGAATCATTTTCCCACGAAACCCCTACGAACCGTTTACGTCTATACGCATCCTGAAGAACGCCGACGATAACACCTTCTTTTTTTTATAAGTTCATGAAAAATCAATTTTAACAATTTTTATCCTTCCTTTCTCCGTATCCCACCTCATCCCATCTTCTGTGTCATTGTTCAATTTTCTACATTTCGTGTAATTTTTGAAATTCTGGTACTTACCCGTTTGAACCTTTTAAATTTGTCATTTTGTTGTGTTAAATGCCCGTGTCCTTCAATGAAAATGTCTACCCTCTCTTCTAATGCAAACGCGCCCTACTGCACAATACACTCCGCTCAGCTGTTTGAAGAGTATTCAACAGTGTAATGGTCTCCTCTGTTGTGTTCCTACGGAGCAATTCGCTCACTTTCGAAAGTATTCACTGCGGTTGGTAGGAACAAGAAAGCTTAAGATTTGTATTACATATTATTTGATTTTCGATTAGTTTCGAAATTTCATTAGATTTTGAAATAATCGGGCGATTGACTAACATGTGGGTTATTCGTTTTTATTTTCGAGTAATATCGATTTTTCTGTCCAATCGGATGTGGAAAACGACAAATTATTCTGTTTCACAATCTTGTTATATTTTCATGGAGTATTTGTGATTTTATTGTCACAATCTTTTTTAATTTTTAACTTTCCATTTGGCACTATTATTCTTGGCTGACGCCGATGAACCTTGTGGCCAAAAATTTATTTAAAGGCGCATCGTCCACCTACGGTTTTTACGAATAAACTCCTTCGATACAGTACTTCGAAACTATGTTTTGCCTATTTCTCTTAGATTTTTGTTTATTTTCTTCCGATTTTCATGAATAATCACCAGAATTTTCTTATAAAGTAGAAAAACCACCAAAAATGAGTCAAATTGAATTAACTCTGGAGTACTGTATCAAAAGCGCATGTAAAACAAGAATAGTACTCAATTTTCCAAAAAATGAAGATAAAACCGGTTGAAAATCTGCAAAAATCAATCAGTGAGGAAATGTGTATTTACAGTTTCAAAGGTACATGGAATTATTTTAAAAAAAACTTGCTACTTTCAGTGTACACTCAACCTTTTCGAGAGTAATTCGCCAGAGTAATTTTCGAAGTTTTCCTGTTTCACTAGCTTTTTACATTTTCTTGGAGTATTAATGAGTATTAATGTTGGCTTATTAATGTTGGCTTTCCATTTGGTTATATTATCCGAATCCCATTGGACCACGAAATTGGAAGGCGAATTTTAATAGATCATGCCCTAAAAATGCCATTTGAATTCTCGATTTCGTTTAGAAACGTCTGACTGGTACTGTTCACTTTAATTTGCAGTTGCACCTACTGTATATTACGGTTATATTACTGCTTTCTCCCAGACGTCCTTTTACATACAGTATTCTAATTCAAATGTTGCTCTTTTCCTTTTCGTATTATCCCATTTGCCTTCTTCACCTAGTCACATTTTCTTTCAATGTGACCCTAATAAACTGATGTGACAACTGAGATGTCACTCCTTTCATAGAACCCTTTTAGGCAGATTTTTACGTCATAAATTTGTCTAGTGCCCTTTCCCATGGACTCGACCTATTGTATTAGTTTAGATAACCATCTTATTCTGCCTCTGAACTTACCCAAACGACGTTTATATAGGGCTCCTGGACGTTTCAGAACCCGACGTTTCAGAACCACGACGTTTCAGAACCCGACAGTTCAGAACCCGACGGTTCAGAACCCGACGTTTTAGAACCCGACGTTTTAGAACTTTTGTGTATTTTTTGCTTCGTGGGTTTCGTGTTTTTTTGTGCTTTGTTTATTTAAATTTGGAGTTGATATGATTTCTTGTTCCTAGGAGTATCCTGTTCATTGTCATTTGTTTTTAAAATTGGGGAAGAGAAAATTTCAAATTCGTGTGAATAAAAATCTAGATCAAGGAAGACTGAATCAAGAAGGAGAGAACATTTTTGGAAAGGAGAAAAACCAAATGGAAGTGTTTCACGAGATTCTGAAGCTTCTGAATTCGAAAAAGAACTCGAAGCAGAAATGTTCTTACAATTGAATCAAACATGAACATATTTGACTAGAAATCAATTGGGGTTTAGCTTGCTTTTGTGCACATATTG